GTTGTTGTTCTTTACTAGTTGTTGCCTGATTTTTTTTTTTTCTATTTTTGGATTACGCTTATGACCAGTTTCTTGTGTCGTTATGAAACCGGAATGGGGAAAAGTGTCTTTTTTCTCTCCAGTAATAAAGCTACTACAAACTTTGATTTTTCTAAGCAGATGGAGGCAGCAAAAAAAAAAAAAAAGATGAAAAAAAATTGTTTTTTTTTTTTTTTTGAAAAGACATTATAGGCATTTTTTAACGTTGACTTTTCTGTTAATGCTCAGTTAACAGGGAGCATCGTTTTGTCAGGTCCTTTTTATCTGTGCCATTTTGAGCAATAATTTCTCTTACAACTTTCATTATTATGTAATTCAAAGAATAGCTGTAGGGGAGAAGAAAAAAAATTTTGATTTTTTTTCTCTCAGATAAAACTTTTTTTTATAACCGGCGAACGAATAACAGTTTGAGCAAAAAAAAAATAAAAATTGAAAAGATAGAGAAAACTATTTTTTTTCTGTAAGTATTAACAGAGAAAAAGTTGGAAATTAGCTTATCTGTTTTCTGTATTTTGAATTTATCACCACATCAAAAAATTCTAAAATTTTAAAACATTTTGCTTTATAGTTCAAGCTGCTTATTATCATTACGTTTCTATACCGTGGAGTTGACAAACAGTTTTTGAATTACGTGCTAAAATATGTCAATTGAGCAGTGACCAAGTACTTGGTCCGAAGAGCTTTTATTCTAAAACTGCAGTTTATGCAGTAATTTTCAGACGATTCATAGGTCAAAAAACCGTGATGGGGTGGATGATGAATGTACCATTGATGGGAATGGTGATGATTATTAAATTTTGATGGACTTCCGTATACAGAGGGTTAATATATTGGCTTTAAACTATATTCTAAAAATTTTTTAGTGACAAAGTTCTCCTATAATTAAAAAATTTTATAAGCACTGTTTTATTTAGCCTATGCTGCTGATCAGATAGTTAACATTATTTAACTCTTTCTTTTTGTTGAACTCTTTGACTATTCAGCAAGTACTGTTTGGGCCCTATTATAAAAAGCAGTTTTTTACCACACAAAATTATACAGCAGTAGAAAAACGGAAACTGTCTATCAAATAAACAAGCAAGTTCTTGAAAATTTTTTTATTCTTCGACTTCCTGTGAAAATGCATAAAAAGGCAGAAAGGGAAAGAGTAACCATGTGATATGTTACTAAATTACAGCAAAAGTTTTTAAGAAAAAATCCCTATACTTTTATCTTTATTGTCTTTAACTATACAATCACTTAAAGAAATCCAAATTGCCAACAACGGATAAAGAACAATCACTTTTTCCCTCTCCAGTTTTTATTCAACATTTAATATCATCTAACAGATTTAGTTTCTCTCAATATCTTATTTATCGTTTTTTTTTTTTTTTTT